TGTGAAAAAGACCCCATGGCTATTGATATATAGCAGAATAATCAGAACGATCACACAGTTCACCTGATGGTAAATGGTTGCTGTGGCCCATAGACATCTACATCTATCCTCGTCTACGAATCAAAATGCAGACACGTTGTCACCCGTGAGAACTAAGATGGCCTCGTTTCCAGTAAAAAGGTCTCCGGTTCTCTACAATTACCATACGAAACACAGCAGCATTAAGCTACTATTTTACGCTGGTATTCTGTGAGAGCGTGGTCCTTCTACGGTTGAGCCGACCCATTTGTGCTACAACTATACCACTAATATAACTGCAGCATGGCTCTACCACGTATAAAAATGTACTACGATAACGAATACGCCCGCATGTGTGGCGTATATGACTAATCATCCTTGAAATGAGACCAGCACCGGAATTTCATGGGCTTAATATGATGTAGAAGAAGAAATAACAAGCTAGTATCTAATTCAAGCGCCTTAGCTTGTGGGCTTGTGGATTTGCGGTTGCCAAACTATCTGCCAAGTGCGGCGACTATGGCATTTTTTTTAATAATTTGGTAATTATTTTAATGCCTTATGGCAATATCTCCAAGTGAATAAAAATATGTTATTCCAATACATGATTGAAAATAATCACCGGGAATAAGGTGTCCGCAACCATGCTAGTTCTATTATATTTATATAAACGATTGTACAAAATTATTGCAAAATTATATATCTCTAAAAAATAATTTCGCTAGGCTTTTTTTGCAGGTTCTTCCCAGGACAGCGGTATTTTTCGAACCAGTAGTAAATAAAAAATTTACATTATGATCAAAATTTTATGATATTATACTTTTTCCGTAAAATTCACAGACTTTTCTTAATAATGTTTGAAAAATCCATTTGGGTGAAGGAAACTTTTTAATTAGGAACAATATAACGAACTTATTTTCTCTCTTCCATATTCACCCTTGATAACTCCACTGTTGGACTAGGTTAAATAACAATAGTTAATAAGATGTATGAGAAAAACTTTAAAAAATACGTAAAACAAAGGTTAACTTAGTTATGGATTTATACGTATCACGTAAGCTAACAATCAAACAAACAGTCACCAAAAAAACTCCGTAAAAAGGATGTTCAAACAAACACTGACCCCTGCCATCGATAATTCGAGACACGTAGCGTAGTGAATATTAAGAAATTAAATATTATCTTTTGTTCTGGTTTTGCCAAAAATATTTCTACACCGCCAAGTGTAATTTGTCATATTGAGTTAAAGTTATTCAGTTATTTTTTATATGTAGCATGATAAATAAGATTTTCGATTATTTACAGCTCAATAAGACATTGTTTTGTTGAAAGATAATAACAATAATAATAGAGTCCACGTGAAAAAATTCGTTGGAAAGAGAATACATTTGATGATACTCTCTTGACCGATTTTGAAGCTTTCTAATACCGTTTAAAAGTATGACCTCTGTAGGAAATATAATTATAGTGAAGTACGTTTTCTCAGAACCGAGCACATTCCACAACGAGACTGACGATACTGTGTCCACCTTGCCGAGGTGTTACCGATGATGATACCACGTACGTGTTTTAATTTTTCGAAAATATTTAGGTCGGTATGATACACTTTTCATTATTTGTGACAATATCGACGGCAAGCAGAGGTACAGAGAAGGGCATACAGAGAAATAAATCAAATCAGATCTGTCAAAATTTTGATTTAAATGGATAACCGTATGACTTATTCTGTACCTAATTATTTATTTCAATCTATAGATGTAAACGCATATATACTTAAAAATAACAGCATCGTGTTTTTATACGATGATATTGTAATAAAATAATAACGATCGATCGAATGGCCTTTTATATACCTATAATAAATAGCAATTGACTTCAAAAATAAGTGAAGGACAGACATTTAATATCTTAGCATCGACTCCTGAAGCTGTTTTGTGATTTATTTTTTAGTTCTTTAAAGTCGGTTTTTTTCGGTCGGAATTTTTATTTAAAAGTACACATATTGCACAACATGTGGCTACGAGTCATATCGTAACAAGAAGACCATTACTTAATTGCTAGGGTATGAGGGCCACTGTGATAACATATGTTTTTTTTTATAGAATAAGGGTGACAAATGAGCACACAGTCCACCTGATGGTAAGTGGATGCTGTAGCCCATAGATATCTACATTTATCCTCGGTTAAGAATCAAAACGCGGATGCGTTGTCACCCCTGAGGACTAAGATGGAATGCCCCGTTTACAGTAAAAAAGGGTCTCCGAATCTCTACACTTACTATACGAAACACAGCAGTATTAAGTTACGTGGTAGAGCCACGCTGCAGCTAATATAAGTAATAAAGTTATATAACAAGTGGATCGGATTGACGGGGACTACACTCTCACAGAATACCAGCGCAAAATAATAGCTTAACGCTGCTGCGTTTCGTATGGCGAGTGTAGATAACCGGAGACCCTTTTAACTGGGAATGAGGCATTCCATATTAGTCCTCAGGGGTAACAACTTATCCACATTTTCATACTTAATAGAGTATAAATTTAGATGTGTATGGGCCAAAGAAACCACTTACCATCCGATGGGCTGTGTGCTCGTTTTTCAACCTTAATACTTAATACCTAAAAATATACGCTATAATTGAATCGGTATTAAAGCAAGAAACGCACAAATAAACTACGGCACTTTTGCTATATAAATACAAAGCAGCAAAACAGGAGCTTCCTTATTATAAATCTTTGCAGCACAATCTTGCGTGAGCCAGCACTGTGAACGTGAACAATGAATCAATAGAGAGGCGATAAAAGAAGCGTGTGCAGGTGGCAAGGGTCATGCGATATTGAGACATAACTCAACCACGAGCCACATATATAAGATATATTAAATACATAAATGTATACGAGAATAAGAGTTGCCCTAAGTAATATACTCATAACATTTCTTTTGAAATTCTTTACAAAATCTCTATGCATAAAAAAACAATTGCTGTGCGTTAGTCTCCCATAAATTCTAAAATGGCTGGACCGATTTTGATGATAATTTTTTGTATGTTCGTGTGGGTCCCCGGATTGTTTAGATTCATAATTAGAACCGGTAGGTGACGCTGTTATCGAGATCCAGAAATCACCCGCACGAATCCTGGGCGGATCGCCAGTCTTCAATAAATTAATTAAAGATTTGCATCGACCTAAATTCTTAATTACAGAGTCATCATCATCATCATCATTACAGCCCTTCACAAGTCCATTGTTGAAGATAGGCCTCCCCCAAGTAATGCCACAAAGCACGGTCCTGAGCCACCTGCATCCATCGACTTCCTGCATGTCTTACCAAGTCGTCACTCCATCTAGTGGGGGGTCGCCTAATAGCTAGGGGTACTCGAGAACCTTTCTCTTATCGGTTCTTCGAGCTATATGGCCCATTGCCAGAGTCTCGTAATACATATTATGATATGTCGATGTATAAACTACAGATAATAAACTACAAGTATTAAAGTCGACATAACTTGTTATCATAGTACTAGACCTATCGCATCTAAGAAGCAGTTCCGAATCATGTAATCCACTGTGCTGTTTCGATTTAAACTATTCAACATTAGTTCAAAAGGTGACAATATATTTTGTAGTATTCTGCTTCTGAAGTTGTTTACAAACATCTTTGTCAATAACCACTTACCATCAGATGGCTTGTTAGTTCGTTTGGCACTCTAGTGCTATAAAATTTAAATAACATTTACATATAGGTATCAATATATTTATATATAGGTATATACCTTATAAAATAAAACCACAAGAGATATACAAAGCAGACAGTTCTACAAGACAGTCAATAATGAAACAGGATAGTATAACAAACCGAAGTTAGCTCAATTTGAAATAAAGTTAGGGTCGTAGACTAAATCCCAGACACGTAGTTCAGGAGAATATTAAATTAGGATTGCTAAATTTGGAAAAACGAGATTAATCACTGGCTTCGCGAGTGCGGAATACTTAAAGAGGAAATCTACCGTAGACATACACCGTCTGAATAGAGAGTATAATTTCATTAAGGATACTATTAAAAATAGCGTCTATGTGGGATAAACTATATACCTTTTATACTTTGAATGCAGAAAAGAAAATGACACCCAAATTTAAATAATGTTCTTTGAGCGACATAAGCGACAATTTCACATGAAAATTATTCAACCCTTCTTTTAAACGAAGAACGTTAAGAATATAAAAGTTAGAGTGCCGTTTTTTTTCTATTTACAGCTTCATAAACGCTTACACCTCATTTTGCGAGAGCAATAAATTAGCTAACTCTGTCAGCGCTCAAATTTTAAGTTCTTAAAACATTCTGAATTAAGCTGAAGCAAGTGAAGTATTAGACGGTAGATAATTTTTTATAATCAAATATTTTTTTACGATTATACTTCCGATTGTTGTCACTTAGCAAAACTTCATCATGACTTATAATAATAATAATAATGATAAATAGGCTTTGGGAAGTGACGACCCCATCGCCCGCTGACGTAACGGTTACGTGACAAAACCACTACGTGAGCGCAGTCAGTCAGCACCTTGCCAAGAGGTGTTAGTGCCGTGCCTCGGCAAAAGTTGAAGGTGCAAAGGCCCGCTTGTGCACATGGCCTCACCATGAAACGGCGCCGGGTCTGGGCGTCTCCCGTTGAATGTCGCCCATTAAAATGGATGATGGAATTATATGATATGGATAGAACGCGCAAATGGCCACTGCCTGGGGTTCGCCGGGGCGCGTCTGGAGCTGGCGCTGGACGTGACAGCATGCGAACCGCCAGCCGAGCGCGAGGTAGTGTTCAACCAGCAGGCTTGGTGACGATAGGGTCTTCGCGGGCCCAGCAATCGGCACCCGCCACTGGTATAATACGCCGCATGCGTTGGACAATCTCAATGAATAGCAACGCATTACGGGCATATTACAGGGCGATAGGGGGAGAAATTGGAGGTTTTGCGTATCGGGCAAAGATGCATCGACTTTTTGCTGAGCTGGAGCCATCTGGAACCGTCACCGAGCAAAACCTGGCAGACCAAGTTCGGTATATCTTGCGCTCAAATATATTTGATGACGCCAAACTCGAACGGCTACGACGTGAGGCTGTTCCCTCATCAAAAGAAAATGCTACGGCTGAGGATGCGGTGCCACAAGTTGCAGAACAACCCGCACACGTGGATACCGCCGTGAATACCCCAGTGGTGGCTGATTCAAATGATGACGGAACATTCGCCCAGGATCTAGAAATAGAGCAAATGAGGAGTACATTGGAAGAGGCGATTATAGAAACGCGCATTACGGCTCTCGAAAATCGACCGCGACTTCCCCGCATAGCCCTAAGCAAGCGGAATCGGGCTTTCGTGAGGGCTCTGAACCCAATGCTGGTGACCTATTTGGAAGCCAGCCGGGAACTTTGCGATACGGACTCAATTCTTTTTGGCGCCGCGCTGGCAGTCTGCCGTATTATAGGCACCAAGGTTTCCACGGCTGGACGCGCTACTGGCCAAAGTAGCGCTATCCCAGTATGGAGAAAAAGAATTAAGGAGCGTATCGCAAAGACTAGAGCTCTCATCGGCAGATTGATATGCTTCAGATCAGGCAATAACAGGCCAAGAATTGTGCGCACCGTCAGGATGGCATTTGCTGGGACAAATGTCAGTTTGTCCCAGCCGGATATAATGCAAAAACTGACGGAGCGCATAGATGATCTGAAGCAGAGAATCGCTGCTTGGGGAAAGCGGATTCGACGATATACCGAGAGGTGGACACGGTTCAACCAGAATTGTCTCTTCCAGAGTGATCAGAAGAGGCACTATGAATAATTGGAGCGACCAATGGCAAGTGGAACGGGCCCAGCACCAAATCAGGCCGACACTGTAACATTCTGGCGCGGCCTGTGGTCAGATCCCGTAAACCACAGCGAGGGCTCTTGGACGGAAGTTGTGGTGAGTCAGTGTGTGAGTATAACGCCCATGGACCCCGTCATTATAACGCCGGATGCCGTAGCCGAGGCGGTCCGTAGGGCCCCGAACTGGAAAAGTCCGGGATTCGACGGGCTGCATCACTACTGGCTGTAGGAGTTTGTGGTGTGTCACACTGTGCTCGCCCGACAGTTCCAAGAGGCTCTCAACCAGAAGTCGCTCCCGAGTCTCTTCACTACTGGGATCACTCATTCGGTTCCTAAAGACCAGGATACCACAGACCCGAGCAAATACCGCGCCATCACGTGTCTACCGACCATATACAAGACACTAACATCCAATTTTGAGCGCGAGAACCACTCGTCACCTGGACTCAAATCAGGTGATGTCACGCGCTCAAAATGGATGTCGGGGTGGTGGTCGTAGAACCAAGGAACCACTTCTTATTGACGCGGTCATTGGCAAAGTGTTGAAACGCAACCGTCGGAACTTCTCCGCCGCCTGGATAGACTACAGAAAGGCATCGACTCGGTGCCCCATATATGGCTAAAGAGAGTCCTCGAGCTGTACAAGATAGACTATACAGTTAGAGACTTCCTCGAGCAATATATGGGGCAGTGGAGTACGATCCTTTGTCATCTGGGTGAGCGGATGATGGCTGCGGAAAGCCACATAAGGATAAGAAGGGGTATCTTCCAGGGCGATTGTCTCAGATCAATCTGGTTCTGCCTCTCTTTGAACCCTTTACTGGAGGGCTCCGGGAGGGGATTTCAGCTTCGGAAAGGAGGTACAAAAGTGAACCACCTTTTTTATATGGATGACCTCAAGTTATTCGCCTCCAGTCGCTCCCATCTTGTGGAATTGCTAAACATCACTTGTGAATTTAGCAATTCTATTGGAATGGAGCTGGGGACGGATAAATGTGCGGTCCTACATGTTGAAAAGGGAAGGGTTGCTAACTCTGAGGGCATAGACTTATCTAAGCCCATCAGTTTAAGGACCCTTTCCGAGGCTGAAACATACCGATACCTGGGTGAGTCACAGAGCATCGGTATCGATGAGGCTGGTACGAAACAGTCAGTTTGCGATATGTTTTATGCACGCTTGACCAAAGTGCTCAACAGCCTTTTGTCTGGTGTGAATAAGACACACGTATATAACGGTTGGGTCATGCCTGTCCTCATGTATACCTTTGGCATACTCAGGTAGACTCAGACTGAACTTAACGCCCTGGATAGAAAAGTCCGCACTACTATGACGTCCCATAGGATGCATCATCCGAGATCGTCGGTGATAAGGCTGCACTTGTCGCGAAAGCATGGTGGGCGTAGCTTTTTGAGCGCGCTCACCATGCATAATCGCGAAGTGTGCAACCTCCGTAATTACTTCCTGTGAGATCGGATGATCCATTCTATAAGGACATCATTTCTTGTGATAAAGGACTTACCCCTCTATCCTTAGCCAACGAGCAATGGCAAGACCCAGCAGTGCAGAGCATTTCCGACCGTGAGACCGTATGGAAGGAGAAGGAACGGTCCCGACGGGAGGTTCTACAAGGCTCTACATGAGCCTTTCGTAGACACAATAGCCTCCCTCTACTGGCTACGTTTCGTTGACCTCTTCGGGGAAACCGAGGGTTTTGTCTGTGCAATACAGGATCAGGTTATTAAGACCAACAACTATCGGAGATACATCCTAAAGGATGGCACCGTCGACGTCTGTCGAGCTTGTCGACATCCCGTCGAATCACTTAGGCATGTCATCTCCGCTTTCTAACTCTGAGTACTTGCACAGGCACAACCTAGTAGCCAGAATTCTTCACCAGGAGCTCGCTCGGAAATACGGTCTCGTGGACCGGAAATTGCCGTATTACAAGTACTTGCCGGAAGCCATGCTCGAAAATTATCGTGCCAGGCTCTACTGGGACCGGGCCATCATCACAGACAGGACTATTCTTGCGAATAAGCCTGATATTGTGCTGATGGACCGGGCACAGTCAAGGATATTTTTGGTCGACATTACCATTCCATATGACGAGAACCTCGTGAAAGCCAAAACAGATAAACGAACAAAATATCTGGACCTGGCTCACGAGGTGACCGACATGTGGGGTGGTCTGCCGACTGAAATTATTCCTGTAGTCATTTCTGCAAACGGGCTAATCCCAGTCAGCCACTCGGGTCATCTGAGGAGGCTGGGACTCCGTGACGGACCGCTCCAGGCTCAAATGCAGAAGGCGGTGCTCCTCGATACCGCCCGCATCATCCGCCGGTTTATCTCCCTTTCCCCCTAAGCCTCGGCCGTTTGATCTCTCCTGCCGAGGCGGGCATGCGTGCATGCGTGCGTGCGTGCATGCGTGCGTGCGTGCGTGCTTGCGTGCGTGCGTGCGTGCGTGGCGTGCGTGAGTGCGTGCGTGTGTGTGTGTGTTGTGCGTGCGTGTGTGTGTGTGTGCGTGTGTGTGTGTGTGTGTGTGTGTGTGTGTGTGTGTGTGTGTGTGTGTGTGTGTGCGCCTGTGTGTGTGTGCGCGCGTGGTTGCGTGTTAGTGTGTTGCGTATATAGTGAACATATACATATATCATATAAATATATATATACATACACACAAACTACTTTATGTACATGTGTTAATCTTATCTTAAAATCTACATATAAAAACTCGAAACTGGTTCGATCAATTCTGATGATTTTTTGTGTGTTTGATTTGTAGCTATCAAAAAAAATATTTATCACGTGATATTCTGAATTATCCTTAGTATGTGAACCATAGAATACTATAATACACAATAGAATGGCTGTCAACCTTACTTTGTTGGAGGATTGGCGTCGCCGGTAGCACACATACCACCAATTACGTCGTATTATCAGTTATCACTACTAAAGATCAAACACATTTTAGACTTTTGATTAATGTTTTTGACACATAAATGTTTCTTTATTTTTGTTTCTAATATTCACAAAATATAAATGGTTTCGACTTACTGGATGTAGAATATGTCTCCTTTATTTAAATTTCATTTCCCGCTGTTTTTTCGACGCGTAATTATTGCACAATTTGCCATTTTTTTTTAAATAATTTGCATGCTGCAACGCTTGACACGAAAATTGGAAACGATTAATTGTGTTGACATTTATACGTGTGAATTGACGTGTTAGTGACATGTAAGTGGCTAAACGGGCTCCGCCCACTCCCTCGTTCTATTATGTATGTATTACAGTATTCTATTATGTGAACTAATTTTAATAACATTAATGTAATGCAAACACATTACATAAATAGTAAGATAGTAATATATAGTATGTAATATATCTTTATACATTGTCATTGCTATTATCCTTTTATTTTTTGTTTTTTTTTTGTTTTTGAGTTACTAATACATTTATCAGAGAGGTGGTATTTGTTTAAACGTCACAAAGTTATTATTTTTAAATTAAGACATTATTTTCATTCCATGAACCACGTATTATATTCGTAGGCAAATATTATTCGTGCCTCATCATCAGTTATTACGAAAGTTTTCCAGCCAGCAACCATTATACTCGCACGATACTAGTACTTGTTTTAATCAGGGAGTACATGGCTTCGTTGCAGCTTTTTCCGATCCTTTGTGAATTATCCAAGCTGATGTATTGTGTTCATCGTAATGAGTAGAAAACTACAGCCTTAACAACGCGCTTGCAATATGAACTCTTGATGAAGGCTCTCATACGAGAACATGTTTGCTGAACGTAACAAAGAGATATGGGACATGTAGCGCAATATTTCATTTACGTAATTTATGTACGGCATATTTATTTTTCTTGTATATAAGTTTTAATTTTGCCGTGTTGATCGTATAATCTTTTAAATAAAATAGCGCTCGTCTTACTTAATAAGATAATTGTCTGTGCTGCAGACTGTTAAATTTTCGTATACTATATAAATATGTAAAATTTATTTTATAATGTGGTAGTGTAGCAAGCTGGCAAGAGCATTTATAATCCCATTCCGTTCCATAGGCATTGTAAAAGGCACAGGTAATGCCAGAAAGATCTAAGTGACTGTAATATGAAGCTATTCACTAATGTAATAATGTTGTATATACTGTGTAATTTTTTTACCGTCTGCAAAAAATAGGGTGTAACATGAGAACGGAAATGAAGCCTATGGCACTGATATTTTATAATTTTTTATATTAACATGTTATGAAATTAATCTATCAATAAATACTACTAATTGGTTGCGTATTATTTTTAATTGATTTATTTATTTAATTCAAAATTTTTGTTTTATTTTTTTATTACCGATAGTTTATTTCAAATATGTGGTATTTATTGATAGTGCAATTTCCAAAACCAAAAAAAAATGTAAAATATCAGTGCCATAGGCTTCTATTCCGTTCACCTCTTACACCCTATTTTTACAGATGGTAAAAAAACAACCAGTATATAATGTTATAAAATTTAAAGTAAAAAGTTAATGTAACATCCTATTTATGTCCTGGACACTAAGCTCAGATCTCCTCCCATTTATGAAAAGGTGATGGTGCGATTAGTCTGCCAAGCTGTTTCAGTATTGGTGAACTTCACGTGCTCTCAAAATATAACACTGTTAATAGTTTCCTCCTATGTAGGTACCACTATTAAGATCAAATGTAGAAGAACATTTTCTAGTTGTTACTGTTTTCTTCTTTTTGAATTAACGGTTAATACTACAAAAACAATGCAATAATAATTTTATTTATCTTTACACGAGAGCTGTAGCTGCTTATACTTACATTACGAAGCTAAGACTCTTTAGGACTCAATTTTTTTTTAATTCTGCATATCAAACAATTTAATACTTCATAGGCAATTAAAATAAAGTTTTTCTGCAGGATTCAGGAGGAAAGAACTTGCCGTGTAATTTGTCTCGTAGCTTTGAA